GGTCAAACTGAAGCTCGAAACTAACTGCTCCATGACTTACGTTTTATCCCTTAACATCTCTCTACTTTAATTCTTTTTATTTCTTTGGCATACCTAACATAGGCTTACTTTTTCTCATTCATGCTCATACATTCTTATACATGCCATAAGCTTTATAATTAAATACATGGCATTCACAACATAATTATAACATAGGAGAATTATACATTGAATATTAGTATCAATCATTAGAATCAATAATTCTCCACTTCTTCTCCTTGCTTCTCATGCCATTAGTGCCCATCATTGATTGACCTAAATGGTTGGTTACGAAGGGGTGAGATTCGGGGGAATCTCAGTAGCAAACATTACCACATACATGCACAAGATGGATGCTAGTGTATGTTATGTAGTTTTCCATAAACTTAAGTTAACTAGTGACATGTCATCATGCTTTATGCTTGGTATAAAAATGCATGGCCATGGGAACATATTAAAAACAGCATTTCCAACAACAATCATCATGTCACAACATCATTCAAACAACAAATACAAACCAACACTTGAGCATACCAATCAAGTACATAAAGGGTAAATTCACTACCTTGCACCTCAAGCTTTCCTCTTACTTGTCCTTTGACTCCCTTGACTTTCCAACCATGTGGGCATTCGGTCAACATCACCAAACATCCTCTTGGATGTTCCAAAAGTCCTAAACATAACCATAATGATCACACAATCCATTAGGACCATTAGATTACATAAAGTTCAAGACTAGCTTTCTTGAACCTCAACTCCTTCTCTTAGTCTTAGGGTTTTCTTTCTAACTTTTCTAATATAAATCTTATCATTTCTCATCCTTAAGATCCATTTCTTGTCAATTAGGACCACTTTAGATGGCCTTAGATTCAAGAATACCAAATCTGAAAATTTTGGTTCGCGGGTACTGTTCACGCAGAAACTCCAGAATTTTTGCTCAATTTTGAAAATTCATAATTAAATCTAAAAAAAATATAAATTGAGTGCTTCCAAGTCTCACTAAAATTTCCTTAAGTTTTTTTTTTGGACTCATCCTTAAGTTAAATTTAAAGGAAAAATAGTTTCAGGAACCAATTCTACGCTGAACAGTACCAGAATTGTACGGAACTCGAAACTCTTCCAAAAGTTCAACACTGTTTTCAGATTTCAAACCCTAACTTTGAAAAATCACCATAAATCGTACACATATCCAAATGAAGTGTTCTACCCATGGATCTAAAGCTTACAGAGTGTACTTTAAGCATGCAAATTTTCAGAATCAGATACACACATTAACTAATTCGAAATAGGTATCAAATCAGATGCTACAGCCACCACATACATTGATCTTGAAGCTTGAACTTAGGTGGACTTTCTCTCACTAAAAATAGATCTTTCTCTCTCTAGATGCAAGAGCGACAGATTTTTCCCTGTGGTTCCCTTGCTTGGCCAAAATACGAGGGGAGGGAGTGCCTATTTATAGGCAAAAATTTGCCTTGAATGGACCAAAATGCCCTTGGTAGCTAGAAGAAGGAGTAAAGGTAATTTTGGAAGTTCAAGTGGACTTTTGCATCATCCTTACATTATGCTTCTAGAAGAGGCCACGTGTCGCAAAAATGGTGGAGGAGAAGGAAGATTAGATCATAACCGTCAGATCTAAACTTAGCCCTTAAGTTTCCTCTTATTTTACTTAGTCCACATTTCTCTGACTTTCTTTATGGCCTTCCAGGGTTCAAAAATTTTGTCTATTCTATAAATTCCCCTTCATTCTAGAGAGTATCTATGAATTTTCTCAGGCCATAACACTTCCTCTAAGCCTTGTATAAAAATCATTTACTAAAATACCCTTTTATCGGTATAATCTGCTCTTTAATTTATTAAAGCCATTCCACTAGCCTTTTGGTTGCGGGACTAATTTTATAAATTAGTATAACCTTTCAACCAATTAATCCTCATTTTTACGTACATTTTTGAGGTCTCTTGCTATTTTAAATAATTACCTCAAACAGTGTACTTTTTACTAGTCATAACCTCATAAATTCCATTTAAGCTATCTCAGGGATATTTTCGTCTTTTCTCTTCATAGAAGAGTTTTAGAATATTATTTCTGATTTTTTGGTATTTTCTTGGAATTTTTTGTACACTCTTCCATTTTTGCCTTTACTGGTCATAACTTTTTGAATTTACAGTTTAGTCCCTACTTGGACTTAACTTCATATAATCCTCTCTTTGAGGCTTCTAACTTAACCTTTGGCCTATATCTAGTCTCTTTTCTCTCTCTAGGCCTTCGAGACTTTACTGGAGTCTCTGACCTTGATTATACTGAAGCCCCTGAAAAACTTTTACTTTGTAGTTTAGTCCCTGAAACTGCTTTGACTTCCTTTCTCATCTTTGAGACTTCTGCTCAAAAAGGGTTTGGTAGCCTATCTAATTTAGGCTACTTCTGATGCTTCTAGGCCCAAAAGTCTGGATGTTACAGGTACCAAGTTGCTCTCTTCTTATTTGCCTCACTTATCAAGACTATCAATGAGCTTTGTGGAAATCCCAAAATGAAAACTTAGCTAATGATTGATATATTGGACTTTTGGCCTTTATGAAGGCTGTCTGGTAGAACAATTATTTCTTCAAGACGCAGTATGATGTAAACTAAGTTGTTTAGCCTTTCTTATGCTAACAGTTTGATCTATGCATTGTGTGATAATCGTTGTGCTAAGAAGTAGTTGTTTTGACTATTTAAATAGTTATTAAGATTAACTGATTAATTGTTATTATAAGAGGAGGTTTGTGATGGAGAAATAACAATTGTGACCACATGGCACACTACCATATGGTGCTTTATAGTTGGCCACTTTCTTTTGCCAGGACAGCATCCCCCAGGCTTGCGACACTCTAGTGATTCATACTCAGGCAGCATCCCCGAGGGCAAGAACTCATAGCCCTTGTGTGCTCTACGGACTTTAGCCAGTCTGCATCACATTAGTGGGTAGTGATCAGTCCATGGGTTCACATCAGCGGGAATAAGGAGGAGATAATGTTAGAACTAATAATATACTAGAATGTGAAATTTCATAATTTGTATTAATCGTTGTCTTGCTATGTCTTGAATTGTTATAATTATAGCTTTACTATTGTAATAAAATCATTTTGATATACTTGAACAGTTAATCTAATCACCTAGTTATCTGATTGAATAACAAGGTCTACCTGGCATCTCATAGGTGGTGTCGATAGGTATGGTGGATAGGAACTGAATTACTAAGACATTTTGTCTCACCTTTTTACTTTTATCACTTTTCAAGTGAGAGCAGCAGAGGAGATGTAGTAGGAAAAGTTCCGAAGGCGTGAGGCTACTCTCTTGAGTAGCTAGGCCTTCCATAATTGTTATGTTTGATTTACTATTAATCGCCACCCAGGATAGTTAGACTGGTTTCTATTCATCTAATTAATTTGGGGAATTGCATTTATTATGAGTTTATCGCTGCTAAACTGGACTGTACTTTATTAGTAGGCACAAAACCATTGGATTTGCTTCCTTTTATTTTATTTTATTTATTTGTGGATCCACAGGAATGTGAACATTTTCATTTAAATAAGTGAAAATTTTCCTTTGAGGTGGTGGCCTGAGGCCTCTTTATGATTATTGAACATGACATAACTATGTTTATCAGGTGCTTATGGTTCTTTCTACAATCATGGTAGTTAGGCAGCATCCCTTCCTAACATGGTTAAGGTAGTGATAAACTATTGCTAAAGGGTATTATCCCCTTCCTCAGAGCTTATCTAATTTTTTATTGGTAATCGATGACAGTTACCTTTTTAATAATCATGATAGATTGGTGTGTAAGTAATTCTTTCCCCCCCCCCCCATCATGATATTGTTTTAGAAAGAAAATTTCTGGTTTGTTTCTCTTATTATCACCACATCATATACTATGATTACATGTGGGGCTAAGTTCAGTATTTTCAAGATAGGACATTTCATCTTGGTAGTATTAAATACCCTCGAAGAATTAGCGTTTAGTCTTGAGCTTTGCCCCCGTTTAGTATCACCAAAAAAACAAAGTAGCTTGAAAAAGAATTGGACTTTTTCGGGCATGGCTAAATGTAGGGCAAGGAATACTACCCTACCAGGAGTCTATATATGGAAATTTGCTCAATATATATAATATACATTATATATAATTGTATTTAATATATGTGCAATATACATATATGGTAGAATTAAATATTTCAAGACTCAAGTTGTTGACATATATGATCATGGATGTTACATAAAGACCTAACGTGTGGTGACAAATTATGCAATTATAAAGAGATAGGCAATGACATATAGATATGTGGGTTTGTAATATAGCGTTTATATTTCTTCTCTTGTAATATGAGAGATCTTCATACAAAAGAATAAAGTGTCACCACTTAGGAAGGAAAGCCCACTCTACCTAGTCTTGTTCAAACTCCAAAATTACTCAGGCTTTCATCGGACAAGACTAGGAAGTGATTATTTTTCCGGATGGGGGACCCTAAAAAATAGATATCTAACTAGAAGAAAGGGACTTAAATGTCTTAATTAGACACAGACAATCATTTAAAAGAACAGTAGCAAGTGATCTTGTACACTAGGCTTTCGTTTTACTCCTTTCGTACCTTTTTATAAGCCACAACAATCATCCATCCATTTTTCCTAAATATAAGCAATATTTATAAGTTCTGTCAAAGTTTTGTAGCAATTTTTCTATTTTGCCCCGATCAAAGATTTATTTAATAGTTATTAATATATTTATTTTTTGTTTCCTAAACATTATTTCCTAGATAATAAATGTTATGAATATTATGTTTTAATATAATCTCTCTCCATCACAAGTCCTCTCTTTTTCATAACTGTTTTTATTATAATAATTTTTTAATCTTTTTTTTAATATTCTGCCTTCATAAACTTTTAGTTTTTACATATTTATTTTTTTTAGTCTAGTCTAAGGGTTACTCATGAGAAGGACGGAGAAAGCGGCAGTTTAAGCATTTCCCAAACGACAATCGAAAGGCCGGGAAACTGTGAACGCAAGGGTGTGGGAGGCTGGAAGGGTATCCAAACTAGGCGTATTTGAAATATGAAATTCTCGAAATGTAGAACGTGAAGGTGAAGATGCAACGGCCTAACAACATCACTGTTGAAATCGAAGACGACGAATTCCTATCGCAGCTCGCGGCGGTGGAGGACTACGTCGTCTCTAACAAACGTCCGAAGCTTCTTTGCGCCTCTGAGGAAGAAGGACAATACACCGCTGCTTTGAAGGGAAGCCACAATTTTCCCGCCACTGCAGTAACCAAAGGAATAAGCGGCGGCGTTCCGGTGGTCGCTGGTGGCTCTTGCTTCAAATGTGGAAGGCCCGGCCACTGGGCTCGCGACTGTGTGGAACCGGCACCTGGAGGGCATGGTGGAGGGCACTTTGGTAATTATGGGAAGGACGCTGCCGTGGTCGAGAAAGCTTGCCCCTGTGGAATGGGAACTTGTTTGATCTTGACGGCCAACACCGAGAAAAATCGAGGTCGCAAGTTTTACAAGTGCCCTATTAGAGAGGTGGGGTTGGGTTATTCTTTATCGTCGTTGAATTCCTCGGAACAATCTTAAGTGCACATTATATTAAATTAAAAAGTTTCTTTCGGGATTATGATTGCGTTACAAATAAGTTTCTTTCATCCCCCCCCCTCTTGGTTGGACTGGTTGAGCTCGAGTGAATTGTCCAATCTCAAGGAGGTGTAACAATGAGTTAAAGAGGCAGGCCCTGTCAATGTAAGATCGATATGGTTTGAAGTGAGATTGGCATTTCTCTCTCCCCCTGTTCGGTCTTTTCACTTCAGTTTAAGTATACTTTGAGAGATCCTCCGTAGACATTCGGCTAAACCTCTCAAAGAATGGTCTTAGAAAGGTAAAAGCGTTATCCTGTTTCCCTGAATGGTCAAGGTCATGGCACAATAGTAGAGCATCTAAATGTTGTATAGTGGGATGTATCAACCTTTCGGACTTTCGTTTCGTTTTTTTTTGGTTTTGTTTTGTATTATATACTGAAAAGTAGATAAGCAAATCACGTGATGAAGTCATGGGTTATTGTGTTCGCTAGAATGAGTAGGAGAAGAAAGGGGCAACTTATCAATTCAGAACAGATTGAAGCTAATGAGAATTTCTCCTGGATCCTTTTCTACTTTTGAATATATTTTTGCCAGCAAATTTTGAAATTACGTTTAAGTGATAATTCTGGTCTTGATTTCCATGGAAGGATTTTGGCATCTTAGAATTTATTGTCTCTCGTGAAATCTGGTTAATGAAGGGAAAATTTATGCTTGTTTGTTTTACATGCTTCAATAATTTGACAGGAGAGTGGCGGCTGTGGTTTCTTTGAATGGTGTGATAATGCTGCTGGAACTAGAATGACTTCTGGAGGCAACCAAAGTTCCGTGTCTGATTCATTGTTTCCATCCTTTCATTGTCCTTGTGGTGCTGGAGCTTGCTTGATTCTAACAGCTAAAAGTGGTAAAAATCATGGCCAAAAATTTTATCGCTGTCCAAGAAACCAGGTACTAACTTTTTCTTCTGTTTATACTTTTCATTGATAAATGAAACCAAGCCAGCCATCTCGTCCAACCGTCAGATTTATAACTTAGCTCGGTTTCGGCTTTGTGTCCTTTACACGTTGCTTTCATAATATCTCTGTCTTAAAGTAATCGATTGCCAACCAAAAGATACTGATAACATTGTTTTATTGTTAGGTGTATGTCTTCAAATTATTTTTGGCCAAATAATTTGATGGACCCGTGACTAATGGGCCAAGCCTAAGGAATGTGTGAAGTTTGTGTGTTTGTTTGGGGGGGGGGGGTGTGTGTGAGAGAGAGTGGGCCGTGTGATGTATAATTGTGCAGAGGGGCTTAGTGTGGGAATCAAGTAGACTCTGAGTAGTATTGTGAGGAGAGGGGGTTCTAGTCTCTCGGATACCAAACTAGGAGGGAATTATTTTCTCTTGTTTCTTTCATTTTTCAGTGTGTTTGAGCTTTCTCAAGGCTAGAGGAAGCATTAGGACCTCTATTCTTTACATTCTTTAGCTGTAATGGAGGATACAAAGCAGAGTATTTCTTCAAATCTGTCTTAAAAATAGCCGGCTCTATCAAATTTATGCAACATATACCCATATTTTAAATATCTGATAAACGACCAAGTTCAGCGATAATATTATGTATTGTTCGATTCATAGCTCTTAAGCATTTTGAACTAAATAATTGCGTATAACGTATTGTGTGCATTTAAAATCTGATAAAAGTCATTATGCAGTGATATAATTGCAAGTTTGGATACCATACTGCTCGTCGTAATAAACAGTAGAAAAATTAACCTCTCTTAGAGGTGGCATATGTTATGGGATTCTGCCATGTTTTGCATTCCTTCTATTTGCTCTTGTGGCTTCTTTCTGTGCTGAATGCTTACATAGTGCGTCAATTGTCATTAAGTTGACATTCTTTAATATAGGATTCGATAGAATCCGTTTTCTCTTTTGAAATCAATTTTGCTGATGCATCTAGTACGGCAAGGTTGTTTGATCATTTTATGTTGGTAACTGAAAGTTTGAAACATAGTATGTAAGGCTACATTTCAGCAACGTCATTAAGATTTAAGGGTCTCCTGGAAATTTTCTGGGAACAGCTGTGGTTAGTATCGACAGTTGTTTGTAACTGTTGGTCTCTCTCTCTCTGTTTTTTTTTTTTCCTTTCCTTTTTTTGTGTTGAAAAGTAACTGTTGGTTTAGATAGGCATCTGAAAGCTGATGATGGTATCAATGGAAATTCCCCCCCCCCCCCAAAAAAAAAAAAATCACAAGCTTCTTTGAGAGAAGCAGAAGAACGCGAGAGATTAACAATGGACCAAAACTCTGGTTTGTCATATTTGATGTTGGTGCTAGATCAAAGTCTTGGTTTTTTTTTTTTTTTTTTTTTCCTTTTTTCCTTCCGGCCTTTTTTTGCCTCATTTGATAAATGATCTTTTAGAGTCTACTATTTTCTGTAACATAACACAGTCACCATGATTTCATCGCATTTGTTTAAATAGGCAGATTCTTGCGGTTTCTTCAAGTGGTGCAGTGAGCTCTCTGTTGGGGATGGTGTATCCGTCAGTCCCTGCAAGAGCAATTACAATATGAGTGAGAAAGACAGACCGAGCTACGATTCTGGAAGTCGGTCGGCATGTTTCAAATGTGGCAAGCAAGGGCATTGGGCAAAAGACTGCCTTATGGTCACACCAAATGCTCCTGCCAGGGGACAAAGATCTGCCTCAACAAACGACACTTGTTATAAATGTAACAAGGCTGGACATTGGGCGAAGGATTGCTCATCAAATTAGTTGGTAAACCAGCAAACGGAAGCGTTAGACGCCACTTTCCTCATTTCAAAGCCTCGCTAATCGTACCTGTAAATATTGATTACTATGAATATGTTTTGATATCTTCTGGTGCTCACTTGCAGAAGCAAAACTAAGTTTTGTACAAGCTAGTCGAGCTAAATCAGGTTTTGACCTTCACTCATCTCTTTTCTGAATGTTCTGGTCCCATTTAGTGAAGCTGAACGGTTGATGCGCCAGGATCGCAAGCTTTGCAAATTCCAAAGAGATCAATAAAATAGTGTTACGCTGCATCAATTGAACTTTTGACGTGAAACTAAAAATTCAATCAAAACAATTCATGGGAGTACTAATGTCCTGCTTGGTATTTTGGAAGGGTTTTTGAAAAAAGTTGAATATGACACGGAATATAAAGCTCAATGGAAATGGTGTTCATGAATAATTATATAACTGATTCTTTTGTGACTTTCACATATGTCTAAACTTCCACTTTCATATAACCTATTATACTATAAAATAGGTATTATATTTAGGACTGGAAGAAGTATTATCATTTCATATTAATATTAAAAATTAATGCGGGTATATCTCTAAGCAATGGCCATGAAAACACATGATGTGTCCTTGATACGCACCATATAATATAGTCAGTGTCATTTAAATGGGGTCAACTGGTTTCCATGTCGCCTTGGGAGGTCAAATTATTGCTAGACTGATATGCAGCATGGTAATACCAGCCAAGACCAATTATCTAATTGGAGCCTAGTAATCTTAGTTTGTAGATAAATGATAAATCAATTGTCTATCAAAAGTTAACAATGAGAGTGAGTTTATCTATTGAAACCAAGTTATTTCCTTGTTTGATTTCCTATTATGCTTTTTAATGTATATGGAAGAATATGAATTGGCAATGGGGATGCAGGGCTTAACAAATGCAATGGATTTCTTCTGAAGCTTAGCGTGGCCTTCATCACCTAATTAGACATGGAATCCAATGCCAAGGCACAGAGAACCAGAACACCATTCAAATTGCGTTGCAATCTTGGGAGTGCTTGGATTAGCTTTTTGAGTAGAATAGATTTTGTTAAAAAAAATAATTTTGATAAATTAAAAGTGTTTGGATGGCTGTTATCAAAATAAATGTTTCATATGCAAATTACTAAAAAAAAAAAGAAAGATATAAAATAATAAATAAATAAATAATATATGCACATATATAAGACCAATTTATTATTTATATAATTAATTAATAAATAGTATGTATATATATTTTGATAAAATTGTGGTTTTGGTATACTAATCAATTATTGGCAAGAATGAAACGAGCAAAGTATCATGTTGGAAAATAAAGAGCGAGTAGAGAGGGACTCACCTGGTTTGAATTTGGATTTACCCATGTTTGAATGTGGGCAAGTAATACTGTTAACAAGTTATATAACGATATTAACTACTCATACAGGGCTATCAACCACATGATTAAGAGCTTTTTATGCTTGAAGAGATTAATTATGACATCATAAATGGGGAATTTGCAATTCTTGTAATGCGACTAATATGTTGTTTAATACTATTAACAAGTTTGTTATCAACTTTAATAACAGGTTTTATAGGTAATTAAAAAAGTGGCACTTTAACAACTTCAATAATACTGCTAACAAGTTGTGTAAGAATATTAATGAGTCTCAAAAAATTAATGATTACTTGATAAATTGGGAAATTTTGATGTGCAACCTTCACTCAGAGCTGATATTAAAAACATCCAAACATGAACATTAACAAATTGCTATAGCAAGTAAGCAGTGCACTTTTGCATTCCACCTTCTCTAGTAATTGTCAACACTTGTGAAGCATAGAACAAGTTTACTAATGGCATTTCCCAAAAACCATAGTCTCAGTGATATTATTTATATTGCACACAACCAATAACAAGTTAACATTAACATTCCATCCCTAGTTAATATTTTCTTGTTGCTAACATCAAAATACACATTCAATCCCCACTTAATTTCACTGCAATACCCATGGACGAAAAAATAAAATAAAATAAAATCTCAACTCCTCCTTCTTGCAACCTTCAGAATTGTCAAATAGCACCAACAATTCGCCTCTCTCAACTATACACATCTTATTCTTTACCAATCGATGATTTCCTCCCCCCAAACTGAATCAATTTCACTGCAACACCTATAGACAAAACCAGAGAAAAGCAATCTCAGAAAACCTTACCTCTGTATGAACGCACGCATGTCTCTTCCACAGCAACTTTTCTCAACAGCGATGCCGCTTACTTTGATTTGGAGCACGACGGTTTCATACCTCTTCTCTTTCTTCCTCTTCAACCACATCTGAAACCTACTACTCCCTCTTCCCTTTCTCTAAAAATTTACTCAGGACAATTTGATCATTTTATTAAATTTCAAATTTCCCTTATGCAAGTAACTATGCAGGGCTTTCAAAATTCAAGTATCATTTTTGTGTTATTTTTCCTAAATAAAACTTTTATTATTACAGATCAAACTTGTAAAATTTATTTTAAAAAATTGAGCTTCTTGATCTTCTTTTTATTTAATTTTTTTATGAGACCTGCGAACAATTTTTCCTTTCAATAACGCCGTGGAAGGCAAAATGCGGTACTTCTCCTGAGCATTGAAACGCGATCAGTCATCTCCTCTCCCTCTCTTGTCATAAGCTACATGTGTTCTGTCACCCAAAAAAAAAAAAATATGTCCATTAAATCGATAATTCATTTTCTGAATTGGACCGAGTATATATTATTTAATGTGTTGATCAGAAAAATGTACTATCTGATGCCTTCTATGTCCAAAGGGATGCTGCCATTTTCGGATCAGCAATGTTGTTCTTTTTATACATGAAGTAAATTTCACTATTTATGGAAATTAACTTTTTTTGAGGTAATAGTGATAAATAGTAGACACTTCTTAATTATATTTATTATAAGGACTGTAATAGGTAGTTTTTCCTTCTTCAAAACCAATGTTTTCTTTATTTCCTTCTACAAAACTCTTTCAAATTTATATTATCGATCATTTTATCACAAAAAAAATAGTTTTTCAAAAAACTAAAAGGTTATGTTCAAATTTACCTTGAAAGTTTTCAATTAAGAGCATTGAGCATCAAAAAATTTTTTTAGATGCAAGTTTGTCTCAGAAGTTTAGGATTGTATCAATATTGCCTCATGTCATTAAAAAAGCTAACATTGATTATTAAAACAGTAACATGAACCATTAACAATTTTTAACAATATAGGGTAATATTATTATGATTTTATTTTTGAAGCAAATTTGCACTTAAAAAAAATTTCAATACCCAACACTTGATTGAAAACTTTCTAAGCAAATTTACAATTTAACCCAAAAATGAAATTTGAACCGAGTTGATAATGCCAAATATCATCTCATTCCAAAACACGATTTGTAATTTATATCACTTGATGAAGTTAACCTTTGTTAGTTGAGTGCATTTAAGAGAACTAATGTCGTCATTTGCATTAGATGTTGTTCAAGAAATAGGTTAGATTAGTCTTAGTTCATGAACAATATATAGTTCTCATATAATTACAAATTACAACTGTTTTTCCATAAGAATGCAATATAATTTAGATTTTATTTTCAAGGTTGTATATGAGGGACGTACGATCCAAATGGACTTAATCATCAATCGGTGCTCATAAGTGACATCATGTAAAACGAGGGAACAACAATTGAGTAAAGACCTGCTTTTGTTTCACAAAAGTATGCATGAGACGGAACATAAGGTTGGCATTATGGGAGCTTGTAAACACATGAACACATGAATTTGGGAAGAACAAGGTTCACACAATATTTTCACTCCAATCCCCAAGAAAAGACTGCAATTAAGTATACCATTGCTTAAAACTTGATGTGCTTCCCATGTCTCCTCCTCTTGTACTTCCATTTTTCTTTGTCGGCCTTTTGTGTCTTCACTTTCCAATAAACAGAACACTGATTGTAGTTTCTTCATCATATGACAGATTTAAATGCACACAGTATTCTTCCTTCTATTCTTTAACAGCTAAGCCTGCACTGAAATGATGAGGAGTTCAAATACTACCTCAGCTCCTTAATATTATCTCCATTCCTAATTATAAGAGCTAATTACCTAATTTGAAGAGATTAAAAAAAAAGTTAAGTTAGTTATTTGTAATAAATAAACGTTGTCTTTCCTAAAATATCCTTGCTGTATTAGCTAGAACTATTATTATTAAAAAGACTACCTTGAAAAAAATACATAAATATAAGAGACAAAGTGTATTGGGGTTTTATATCTATGATCAAAATAAAAGTCAAATGAGATCCTATATTAAGCACCAGAGATAGTATAAAAGCAGTTGACTAAATTAAGTACATTAAGAAAATTTATTAAGCTAGTTATTTGTAATATATATGTATTGTTTTTCCTATAATACTCTTACTAATCATGTGTATTAGCTAAAACTACCATTTGACAGAATCTTTAATATGTGCAATTATCATAAAGACTACTTTGGAAAAAATAGATAAACATAAAAGATAAAGTGGATTAAGGTCTTATATTTAGAACTAAAATGAAAGTCAAACTAGCTTTTATATTGAGAACCGATATAGTAGTTAGTAATTTAATTTCTCTATATATATAGTTGCACTTTAAGGAATGCCGCAAGACCACATATAAATCCCACTCACTTTAAGCTGAGGAATTTAAAATGTGGACCACTTTGTCCTATACTCACATACGCAGAGATCTATGCCCCTGTCCATCAAACCTCTTATCAGTTCCAATAACATGTATATAATCAAGCTCTTCTTTACCAAGACATACTCAAGCTTTTTCAACTGCGAGAGCCACCACAAGAAATCCTAACTATTTTCTTCCTGATCTTCAAGCTACTAGCTTTAAATGAGGCATTCTTTAGTTGTTTTTCTCCTGCTTTTGTCCCTCCTTCTTGCCAAGGTTCAAGGTAAATTAATCACAAGATTCAGCCTTTTCCATTTCTGTCACTTACCAAAGTAGAGTTTCTAACTTTCCTTTATTTTTCCATAGGGATTCGCTTGGACAGAGTCTCTAGCAGTTCAGCAACAATCACATGTAAGTATTCATTACTTTGAAGTTCGGTGTAGCTTTATGGGTTTGTTTATTCATAAGTTTCAACCTTGTTTCAGTCATGCCTGAATGTAGAAGTTTAATTTTCTGGCTGCAGGATGAAGAAAGTACCTTGATGGAAAAAAGCAATGGAGAAGCGGAGGAAGTTATTCTCTCTAAAGATAAACAATGCACGGCTACTCTGGAGAGAAGACTCTCCAGAGTACCAACAAAATCACATAAATGGTTACCTCGACTTTATGAAGATTTCTATGGACCCAGACACCATTAGGTTTATTTTTCCTTCTTAACGTAAGCATTGTTCATAAACTCAAACGATTCCTTGTAACTCTCAGGTCTCAAGCAAAATTTGTCCCAACAACTCCTAATGACTTAATTTTTGGCTATAAAAACATTCTTCTTTTCTTCCCTTTTCTTGTTAAGCATCACCATTCAAGAAAATCAATTAGCACTAACCTTTACTCACGTATTTCACAATATTAAGCATGTTCGATGTGTTCTTGTTGCTGCAGGAAAGATAAAGTGTAGGAAATTTGTTACCACATTCATTTCCTCTTTCCACGAACTTTCAAAGGTTGGTTTAGAGATGGAAAAAACTTTATTAACTGTATTAGGCATTAACTTAGAATCTAAAAGGAAAAAATAAACCTTCGCATCTCTTCTTTTTCCTCTTTATGATACTATCATGAACTCTGTGAGCAGAATAAAGTGAAGAAGGGAGGGGATGAAGCTCACTTCTCTATAAATGGCAATATGAGAATGGTGAAACTTGAGGGGGAAGAAGAGGGAATAAATATTCAAACTTTGCCTACTTCAGAGCACCGGGGGCCCTATCATGAGCAGTATACGGACCATGTGGACATAGCTGAGATAGACTATTCTCCAGCAAAGAGAAAGCCTCCAATACACTACTGAGTCTAGGGAAAAGGGAACAAACCACTAGAGAAAGGGACAAAAAGTTTTTTAAGCTCGGGATATATAGGGCATAGAAGGTTGGCAGCATTACGCAAATGCTGCAGTTTTTCTAGGAATAACTTGTACATTACATATTATTCTGTTTTCATTACTGACTAATAATATCATTAGTATTATTAATTGTTTTCCTTTTTGATGATTAAGTTATCATGAGTATAATTAGGGTAGTTCTCTTCTCTGGGTTCTTTAGACCCCGACAAAGAAAGTGACACCACTTTTCTTTCTTATGCAGCGTCAAAGTGTGCCTTTTTTTCAGAACTTACAAAGAACATAATCGGGGACCAAATTATTCAAAGGTCTAAAAGTAAATATCTTTTGGTTTTGGTCTTTAGTGTACTATGAGAAGCTGAAAGGACACGTATCCTTCTGTTGCTCCCTTAGAAGAAGCTTCCCGTAACACAGTCCATAAACTATGAATGAAGAAAAAACATCCCGTAACAAAGTCCATAAACTATATACGACCCATAAATAGTTTCAAATTCACAATTAGATTCGGAGTGATCAATTTTCCTTTACTAGTTCATCATCCCAGTTTTATTTCTCCTCTGATTTCACATTATTTGATCAGCATGACAGCCATCTACAGAGTCCAAAGAGAAGCATATAGAATGCACAACGTGCATGCATTCAATTAAATTAGATTTTTTTTATATATTCAAAAAAGAATCATACAAGACAAGGTGAAATCACTTGGATCAAAAAAATGAATTAGTTGCAGTAGTTTGTAGATTTCGTGAGAAATTAGTACAATGGTTGCAAGGAAAGACCAGGTAGATAAATACAATCTCCACTTAAAAACAAAAGGACATTTCCATGAAACGAAATTCAGTCATGGGATTTGAGAAGCACAAAGAGAACACATTGAGGCATTTTGTCAACCATGTGAAAGCCAAGAGATAAAGTGTTAACATATTCTCATATCCCTTTCAAGCTTCGGCAGAGACGAGATTGGTTGATACAGCAAAATCTCAGCATTAATTGTAGCAGCACCATGTGGGAAGAAGAAATGGAGGTGACTGGTGTGGAAACTTACCGACTCTCCCACAACCTCTTCCCTCTGTGGGGGGAACCCAAGGTCCATGAAAGAGATCGAGATAATGAAGAAGGAAATTGGGAATGGGGCGAGAGAGGAAGAGAAGAGAGAATGGCTTTGGGGGTTGAAGCCTCGAAGAAAGTAAGTGGGCCTCTATTAATTAAGTAATACTAAGATAGTGGTTATATTTAATGTTCTATTGTCATTGACATAATCCCGGATGTTACTTACAAAAAAATTCACCTGGAAAAGCAATAAAGGGCAGAGTCTACATCTATAAAAAAACAATTCCTTTCCATAAGATGACCAAAATATCGCAATTCATTTTGCATAGTAACCTGAAGCAGTAAATTATTGTTTATGTCAGTTCACCAATGAATATATTTCATCGCTTTTCAAATTGACAGGAACATAGCACAACTTCATGCATTAACAATTTCATATTAAGGTTTCACACATTCACGCTAGGTGGTAACAACAAACTCCGCCCCATCTTTACTTTGCACACTCATGCTACTTCATACTCTCACAAGAAACCTACTCCCTTCTTTGAATTTTCCTTAAACATTAGGCCATTCTCCAGCACTGATCAGTCTCATCCATAACGAATAGAAACATGCCTCTTACCCCAAATGTTTTGTTTGTGCACCCAAAAAAAAAAAACCTCTCTCTTAACATTCTTACTTCAACCTCCTCCCCCCAACTAGCTCCCCCAACTTCACCCCTCCCCACTTAAAAACCCAGCTACCTCGAATAAAATACCTAGCCAAATGAAAGAAAACAGTAGCATCGTGAAGCTCAAGAGATGGACACAAGAGGATTGTGGTGTCAAAAATTACTCACCTTACCTTGCTTTCAACATTTTTGGCGTTTACAGAATTGTCTCCCAAGTTCAAGCACTCTTCAACTCTGCCAACTTTCTTCTCTTTCTCTTTATTTCTTTTTTGTTTCAAAGGGTATCTTTATCATTTTCTCACATTTTTATGATTCCAAGTTAGGTTTTCCCTCGCTTGTGATTTGCAATTGTCAGCTGCTTTTCTTAGGATTATGTATTTTCAAGTTGGTTTTTGAATTCTTTTTATAAATATAAGGAGAGTATTGTCTTAGCCAACTTCATTTGAAGATGTGAGAACGACAATAAATCTCACATGTTTATATATTAATATATTTCATTTAAACAATAATAATAATAATCTTTCAAAGACTGCAACATATACATATATAATTCGGTAAATAAAGAAAACATATACATGAGGGATAAGCGATTAGGATTTTTTTGTTGGGATCTATCCTCTCTTCTCTTCCTCAATAAACCTCGTTACTCAGATGGAGAGAGCCCTAGCAACCATAGTTGAACAAGCTCGTCTCTTGGCTGTTTTCTTCATTTCGTAGTGCGATAATTTGTTGATTTTAGTTTGAATCTTTCACTGATCTTTGTTTTTTCTCCCTTAATATTGTAGAGTAAGAAGGCTTTTTTTGAAGCAATTGAAAGTGTTCGTGTGGTATGTAGATTGATGACTAGAGTCCCTTTTCTCATTCATGGATTACTTTTCACTTGAGTTTTATGTTGATGCTGAATGTTGGGGCAGATTTGCTGTTGATTTCATTTTGAAGCTCCAAGAAATTTGGGAAGGGAAAAAAGCCTGAAAAAGATAGAAATCGTCTCTAGAAATCCATTGGACTTGGATTCAAGACCCCACGGAGGCCATTGAAGGTATTCATTTTGATTTCTCTCTGATTTTATTTATATGTCGTGGTACCTGTCTTGTTAGTATCACTTCCGTTTGTTTGTGATTGCATTACTATGCTATCATGACCTCTATAGTTCTTCATTATTGTAAGCCTTTTTTTTCCCCCTTGATAGGGCACTACACATGCTGCACTCTAGTATGTTATGAAGTTTAATGAATATGTGAACCTAGTAAACCTAGTTGGATGGCTTTATGCCATAAATAAATATTGTGGGAACGCTTTTATGGTCTAGTTAATCATTGCTACGGAAACATAGGATGTTTTCAAAAATGCTAGCTTCCTTTAAACTACTACTTCTGGTCATCAATATAAGAGTTTGTTTGATATTTAATTTGATATTAAATATAAGACTCAAATCTATTTTGTCTCTTATATTTATTCATTTTTCCTAAGATAGTCATTATAGTAGTTGTACATGGTAAATATTTTATCAAATGAAACTTGATTAGCAAGGCTATTTTAGGAAAGACAACACATATTTATTGCAAATAACTAACTTAACTAATTTTCTTGATTTATTCAAATAAGTCAACTAATTTTTATATTAAGGATTGGAAATAGTATGATGTAAGCAGTACGGTTGAGTTTTGTTAGGATGCAGGTGCTAGTTTAGTGCTTAGATGTCATTTGATAAATATAATTTTCAAAATTATTATGATGAGTTTTTTCAGTTGATGCAAACTATCTTGTATTTATTAGCCACACCCTTTTGAGAAGGTATATCTAATCGGAAAACATAATGCTATACTAGAATCCAATTGCTTCTATCCTTAAAGTCTATAATTGTATTAGGCACCCAATTATATTCCTAATATGTTTCCCCATTTTCTATCATAAGTTTGCTAGTTAAAATGCATTTCTACATTCCTCATGTCATACTCCTTTGTGTTTTATCATTCCAAGTGCTTTACAATCCATTTCTGTATGATCGCTTAAATTAATGCTGCTTCCTTACCATTTTACTCTTCGTATAGGCACCTATAAATATTGATAAGGAGTGCCCCTTCACTGGTACGGTTTATATCCGAGGTCGTATCTTAGCTTGAACTTGTCACATTGCTAAGATGACAAGGACTATTATCATTCGGCGGAATTATCTTCATTTTGTCAAGAAGCATTATAGGTTTTTTTTTTTTTTTTTACTTGTAGCTATGGCCCCTTAGTTTCTTGTTTCTGTTTCATTTTGGGGAGTATTAGCAATACGCTGCAAACTTGCTGATCATATAGATATGAGAAGAGGCATTCAAATCTTGCTGCTCGTACATCTCCTTGCTTTCGTGTGAAGGAAGCGGATCATGTTATTATTGATCAATGCAGGTGAGGTTTTGCAGGTGTTATGTATTCTATGAATTCTTGCATGCAACCCCAAAAATGGGTTAAACATCAGAACTTTGTGGAACAATTAGGACCTGCATCAAATGTTGACTAGATAACAAACCAAGATTGAAAGTTGCCTAACATTGTAGTAAAAATAAAATCTAATGTATTAAATCTCTAATATTTTGTTTTTTGTTTATGAATGCAAGCCCTTTATTTTTTAAAATATTCTACCTGGTCCCTTGTTTCTTTCCTTATAGCCCCCAATGTCTTCCCCAACCGTAGTCCAAAATTATTCTTTTCAACCGGACAAGACCCAACATGACAACCCTTCTTCACCATATCTGAGATGAAGAGAAAACCGCCCCCCCTTCCGGAATTTCCATGGCACAGTGCAGGTTTGCTATATTGTGCCATCCCCATCTCTAATGACATCTTCTATGGGAGAATTTGCTCCACGGTTCTCCAAAGTTGTTTCGGAGTATAAATAGTATAAAGAAAAGCTTTCTCTCTCTACTTTATAAATAGGATAAGGGGAATATCTATGCTCTACTAAGTAATCATTTAATTTGTTTGGTTACTTAAACTCCTATTATTAAGTTGGCTTTCAGCGATGATTGAGGAAATATGTGTTCTCTGCGAACCACAACTTCACTAATGCATGAATACATCTGAGCCCATTTGGTAGGAAGAATTGGTTGGAATGATAAATTTTTGGCCAAGGGCGTGTTTAGTAAGCATTGGAATGAAAAACTGTGTTTGATTGGATAAAAATAGATTGGAAACTTGTACAACTTTACCATATTACCCTTAATTAAAGAATTCATTATTATGAAATAAAAATGCTTTTAATTAAAAAATTCATAATTTAATAAAATAAATGAATAAAAATATATTATAATTTTAATAAATATAAGTATTCAATATAAATAAAAAAATCACTAGAGATATTAAATGATTAAAAAATAACTAAATAATAAAGTATTAAAGAAAACAAAATCCTCAATTTGAATACAAAAAAAATTTAAATATTATACATAGATTCTGAGTTTGTTTTGTGAGCAGTGTAATTTTTTTCCTAATTTCTTATTTATATTTTATCTTTGTTGTAGACAAAATTTATATAATATATTTTAAGCACGTTCTCATTTTGTTTTGAACTCGTAAGATGCAGTGTGATTTCGGATTCAATTCAAAAGTTTGCCGTCCCCCAATTCATGATTGAAAAACACTAAAAAATGAGGATTCATCAAACTGGGCTTTTAAGAATAGCTAGCCAACATCCTGATTCCTTTATTGACAGAGAATATGTTTCTAATATTAAAAAGTTACAAAAATTAAAAAGCTAAAGTATTCATTTGGTGTAAAGTTTCAATTTGGCCCCTTAATTTTAAAAAATATATTTAGTTTTTTAACTCTAAAATTATTACTCTTAAATGATGATTTTTTGAAACAATCATAGTTGTTTTGAAAATTAAATTTAATACGTTAGCATTTAATAATATTTTACTAATATTTAAGAATTCAATACCATCATTTTTTATTAACGGTTTTAAGATTAAATGATTAAAAGTTTACTTTTTAAAGTTAAGGGACAAAAATGAAACTTTGTCTAAAGTTAAAAGACTAAAAGTGTACTTTAATAAAATTAAAAAAAAATCACAACTTAGTATCAAATACACTCTATTTGCCCTAATTTTTTAAGTGTTAAACAAAGCATAAACAAACCCATATAAAAAATTAATTTAAAGGTCAATTTCTGGTGAACATATCTTTTTAATTTAAATACAAATTAGACAAATGACATATTATTGTAAATTTCACTGAGCTCAGTTTTTAATGCAATGAGACCCATTTAGAAAATCTTTTTATTTTGAAAGTTATTTTTTAAAATTTTAAGTTTTAATATGTTAAGAAAAAGAAAAAATAAATTCAAATTTGATGCAGTAAATTTGAATTGTTTTGCATTACATTCGAATTTGTTTAAACAAATTTGTATTTTATGTAGTAAAGAATTTGGTCATCACATGAGCAAATTCACATTTTATGCAGTAATTTTGGATATAATCCTATCAAATTCGCTTTTGTTCCACCAAATTCGAATTTACTCATTTCTTTATCACAGTTAAAGCTTAGCATCCATAGATAACTTTCCCAATTTAAATTCAAAATAGACAATTAACATATTATTAAAAAAAAAAATCTGAGTCTACTTTTTAATAAAATATTACCCGTTCAAAAATGTTTCATATTTTTAAATTTATGATTGAAAGAGTAAGCAAAGGTTAAAAAAAACAAATTTCTTTCTTTTTTAATTTCTTCCTAACACACCCTATTTGCTCCTGTTTTCAGTTTAGTAAACAAAGCAATTCACTCAGACAGATTGGAAATGACCATTTATAAAAATGAATGCTCTTTTTCTTCAAGCCTTCCCGTTAATGTTCGTCCTAAGGTCATTGATTGCTTGTTAGACATTCTCATGGTTCATAAGGGAGAGACTTGGTCCATTAGCAGGCCATTGGTTTTAAAAATTAAATAGAAGGGAAATCATGTTTGAAAATTTTAAAATAGCTACAATCCGAGTGCCATATCTCCAACTCAAGAACAACGTAGCCGTGATGAGGTAAAGGAGCTGGAATCCTTTGAAAACAGAACACTACTCAAGCCCACATGTGAAGTGATGATAAGCCAATATTCAACATTGCTGAAGGTCCCCTTCGAGAACAAACTCCTTTGTCCATCATTTTCTACTTCAACGTTGTGATGGGTCTTCAAGCAACTCCCACCAAAATTTGTGGGAACCAATGATGCAAAATTTACTGTTGTCAAAAATTTGGTTTCTGAAAAATTTTACAACCAAGCATGCACCGCCCATGGAAAATCAACATTTTCCATATTTTCATTGCAAGAGCGTACCAACCAGGCTCTACGATGTTTGGTATACAAAACAAAAAATGAAAATAAAATAAATAAAAAGAGAGTAGACAGAGTATCAATAGTTTGCACGTAATTTCATTCACTTAAAAGATTCAGCGATACAGAATCAGCTCATCAGCGTCAACTGGAGGGACAATACTGGCGTCGGCAGAACAACAATAGACTAAATACCAGGGAAAGAACCTTGGTCGAAGTAGATGGTGCTTTTTCTTATAGATCCAACGCTGCTGCTTGTGGGGGGATTCTTAAGGACATGAACCAAGGCCTTTTGGAAGGTTCCCTTCTCCAATTAGACGTCACTGATAGTCTTGCGGCGGAACTTTGTTGCTGCTTGATGGGTCTTAAAAGGGCCTGTGATCGCGGCTATCGAGATATAGTTCTCAGAAGTGGTTCTGCAGAAGCTTTTGACCTGATTGAAGGTTGATAAATGACATACATGAAGACTGGTCGCTGATTATGGAGATCAAAGAGATGATGAACAGAGCATGGCAAGTGGAACTTCAGCAATTGAGATGATAATCAGTTAGCATATGCCCTCATGATCTTCAAGTTTTGGGCTCCACGTCGTTAAGGGCATGCTGCAGTCTGATGAGTTAAGCATCCTTAGTTTTCCTTCTTTTCAGACGTATCAAAAAAATAGACTCAGAATCCAGAAAACCCTGTCATTTCCAGCCTTGCATATTGTGTATCCTGTTTGGAATCTGGATCTTCAGAGCTGGTATGGTTTGAAATTGGTTAAATTGGAGGTACTACTTCCACTCTACAACATAAGCATCTTTCAACCATTTCACTGGAACTAAGATAAAACATTAATGATGTCTTGAAAGAGTTAAAAGAATATGATGAGTCATATTTTTTTTATTACTTTTCAAGTAACCTATATTATGGATAAGAAAATCTTTAGTTGGTTTGTATTTCGGACCAGAGGGGGGTATACCAATATATTACTAATATTTCGCACAATATATAGATTTTCAATTTCCCTACTTGGTAGAATCTGAATCCGAAAGACAACCCCGTAAGGTTCCTTCATAAATAGGGATTGCCATGTGCGTGTCCTTGTTTGGAGGAACTCATTTTGGACATGACATAAAATGCAGAGTGTCAATGCGCAGTTGCGCTAATTTGACGCCAAATATAAATGGTGTTGATTTAAAGTGCCACAGCGTTGTGATTCCATAAATTCTGGCAAATGTCAATGTGGGGGAAGATCTTTTTGGGTGCTTTTATTATTCAACCAAGGAAGCCGTTTGTTTTTATTGTTGTGGCCAATAAAAATGAAGCATCAATGTCTGAGCACTTGTTTGGAACAAGAAAGGTCCTTCTGTCTGAATGTGCAGCAATGTGATTAGTGTAGAGAGTATATTTAGGACTGCAGGTAGTACTATCATACGCCCTCTAGCATATTGTCTGTTGTAACTAGAATTTTGAAAATTCATATTTAGTATGGGCTGGGTTTTGAATAATCCTACATTGTTTTGTACAGGTCTTTGCTAGTGGCCAATGCAGGAGACTGCAGAGTTGTTTTCTCCAGACGTGGAAGGGCAATAGAAATGTCCAAAGATGATAGGCCGGCCCTTCTGCGTGAAAGAGAGGAAGTGAATTGAGTCTCTGGTTGAATTCGTTGATAATGCTTTTCTGAATGGCCAGTTAGCTGTCAGTGTCACGGGCATTAGGCGACTAGTATCTTGAGGGCTTGAAGGAAATTAGCGAAAGAAAAGAACCTTTTAAGGGCTAAGCCAGAACTCAAACTGACCACAATAACCAAAAAAGATGAGGTTTTGATAATTGGAAGTGATGGGATATGGGACGTTTTCTGCAGCAAAAATGCTGTGGATTTTGCAAGGAGAGGCTTCAAGAGCATAATGATGTGAAATTATGCTGTAAAGAGATAGTGGAGGAAACCATAAAGAGAAAGTCAACAGGTAAGATAACTGTGACGGTAGCGTGTTTTCACTTAGAACCACCCCCACCTGTGGTTGTAGAGAGGCCAAGATTCAGAAGCAGCATATCTACTGAGGGACTTCAGACCTCAAGTCCTTACTGGAAGGATGGAATATTGTTTTGGTCTGCGAGGTAGCTGATTTTTTTTTCCCTCTTGAGATGTGATTGTCTACATATATTAACCTGTCACGCACAAAATATGCCTCCTTGCATCTCCAAATGAATGATGTTCAACCTAGTCATGGAGCGGGGAAAGGCTCTGAAAATGTAATACAAATTTATACCGCATAGGATTATTTTTTTCTTGTTAGTTAATGGGAAAGCGAGAGCGCAACATATAAGAGGATTATAATCTACATTTGAGACTGTACAGAAACAAGCACTGCAGGGGTATTTTTCATGGGTTCAAAATCAAATCATTGTAGGATAATTGTTTATCTACCAGGCTTCTATTGAGATACGCGGTTTTTCATGCAGAAGTGTACAATTTGTTTGAAAATACCTAGATTTGATTGGATCAAATGAAGCTAAAATATAATATGCGAGGCACAAAATGAAACTCATCCAAGATATTTGAAATTCTATTCATGATTCACTAGTTCTCAAAGATTGTTAACAGATCAAGTCATAATCTTAGATTTCTTTTCAAACTAGGATCGTCAGACCCATTTCTCTACTTTTTTTCCCCCTTGTAAAGTTGAAGAGAATCGAATACTGATGTAGGCCATTATTTTATAAACTGTTTTTAATATTAGACGATTTTATTCCTCCTTTGTTTAATTTTACACTGTTGTTACAAGTCAAAGTGTTGATCCAGGTTAATATAGAGCACTATGGTTGACCAGATTAGAATCAGATGAAACGGGCAGTTTTAAAATAAACAGTTCAGCTATAATGTCGGAACATCACAAATTTGTCATGTTATCCCATGCACAGAAAGGGCACAGAAATTAAAAACACATAAAAATAGAAGGAAAAAATATTGGGGAGCATGTTGGATTATCACTCTTAAAAAACAAAATCAACCAATATTATATATTTTGTATCAGTGAACAAAGAATGAGTAAATAATACAAAGTTGAATGATAATGACCTCATCTGTATTTCATATCCTGTGACTTCTCTAACATATAAAACACCAATGGCATCCCTAGCCTAAATGAACAAAAATGTATTTCTACCATTCTATTTCCAAAATCACTTTCTTGCATTCATCTTATCTCTGATCTCAATTCTTGCCACACGAACTAGGAACAAGCCAGCAAGGAAAATAGACAGAATTAGCATAAAGAAGACACTGTTCCATCCCCTAATAGAAATATACCCTGCCAAGAGTGGACCAAGAGCGGCTCCAACAGAACCAGTACCGTCAATGATTGCAGTCACAGTTGCCAGTGCTCGTGAATTCCCTTGATTCAACGTCTGTGTACCAAGATCAGCTGCCACAGCAGTTGTGATTAGTGCATACGGACCATTCACCAAAAAGCCCGAAAGGAACATCAACGCAATGTTGATCAACATAGAGAGGCTCCCATAAAGCCGGTAGAGAACCAGCATTGGAATTGATAGGAACAAGAATATGATAGAAGTAACGGCCCGAGCTTCAATCATGTCAGAAATGAAGCCAGCCATAACTCCACCAAGAACTCCTCCAATGTCAAATATTGTTGAAAGTATTCCAGCAGATTTTTTAGACAAATGCACACCCGCAACAGCTATAAATGAAAACCAGAATCAGCTATGAAGGAAGCAGTAGGTTTACATCGAAGAAAAACACAGCCTCTGCTATTTAGCATTTGGCTGTATCGTGGTCAACATTGAAAACATTGGAAAGACATGACCACCAATCAAAAAAACTTTAGGTCTCAATCTACAACAGATAGATTGTCTAAGCAACCGGGTCAATCATAACTACTAGAAAAGGCATTCTACCCACACATTTCAATAAAACGTAAATGTTTGAATTGGTTAAATAGCTTGATCAATATAAAGAATCAGTCACACTAATAATATGCAGATGCTAATAATAATTGAAGCAAAAGACAAACCAAATCTATGTGAAAACATTTATACACACAACAACAGTTACCTGTGTGCGTAATGTAGAAGGGCAACCAATAGAGAAAAGTGTAAGCAACCAGCTTAGAGAAAAAGAGACAAAAGGCAAATGCAGCCACCCCAGGTAACTTCCACGCCTCAAAAAACCCAAGTGCAGATGAAGAATCCGAATCATCAGAATCAAGGAGTTTTGCTTCCTCTGTTTCCGATTTTTGCACATTCTCTACTCCATCTGTTTCTACATTCATTTCAATCTCACTTGCAGATTGCACAAATCCCATGTCCTCTGGACTCACAACAAGAAACACATACACCAGAATCCCCATACAAATGATAAGAAGTCCAGGCACCACAAAGGACCAACCCCATCCGAATTCTAACACTGCAGAGGCAACAATCGAACCAATGATGTTCCCAACTGAGGTATGAGAACTCCATATCCCCATTATCAAGCCCCGCTTTGATTTTCCAAACCAATTACCCACGACTGCAACCACACAAGGCCACCCTATTGACTGAAACAACCCACAAATAATTTGAACTCCAATAAAAAACCCCAACACATGAATATCAAACCAATAGCCTAAGCCAAAAAGTATGGTAAAAATGCCACTACCCATCATCCCAAATACAAGGAACAACCTCAAATCAATTCGATCACCAATATGACCTGCCACGTACATGCCCACAGCGTAGGAAGAAAGAAAAGCGAGATCCAGCTCGCCAAGCCGGTGAGTTCCCCTATCTCCATTGAACGGAGGCCAACCTGTTTCGCCGGGTCCGATAATAGAACCTTGAGTCGAATTGGAATTAATCGTCGGTCCCAGAACACTCTTCACAATACTGGGAGGCTTTCGGGAGGCATGGAAGGAAGCATATGCAAGGAATGTGATAACAAGAACTAAGATTTGGTGAAAAAGTAGGGTTTTGTGAGGGGGTTTCAGGCTTGGGAAGAGAGTCAAAGCCGGAGCGAGACTCGAAAGCTGGGATGGCATCGCTATTCATTGGGGATCCACCATGCAAAATATAGCATAAAGACAAAATATTTTTGTCATTTTACACAATCATCCCAACCAGACCACCCAAGATCTCCTAGATGCTGTGGATAGTTCCAAGCTTCGGAGAGGAATATTATACCAGTCAATTGTAACAGAACATTTAGTATGAAATCACCTGCAGCTTTCTTTTCCTATTTTACTACAAGCGCTACACATAAAGAGAAAATGAGCGTACCAAACGGGCCCCTGTTACTCCCGATGATGACCTACACGTTTGCATTCTTCTTCGAAATAAACTATAATGAACTCAGATCCACATTGTTTTGGGTTGTGCCCACCGAAGAATAGTGCGAATGATGAAGAGTCTTCTAGGTTGTGCTCGCCGGCAGTGTGTTGTGGTCACCGGCGGTGGGCAGTGCTGATAGGGTTAGCATTTGAGGATAGAAATGAAAATTGAGAAGGCCAAATCTTGAATTCCATGGAATTATTCACCATTTTTATTGAATTAAATTTATGTGGATCCAAATATGACATACCAAACAGCCATTTAAGTTTAACATGGAATTTAATTCCATTTCCATTTCCAAACCTCCGATTCCTACATACCAAACAGGGCATTAATTAGAAATATGTATATTATTGTCAAATAACAATCAGAAAATAACAAGTTAACTAATCAAAATAAGAAAATAATAAGGTAACTTTTCTAAAATGAAAATAACAAATATAATATTCAAAATTACAATTTAGTTTTAGAAATAACAACTCCATAATTGAAAATAATAACTTCCACACTTAAAATAATAAGTTAGTAAGAAGAGAAAACAAAACAGAACATGAACTTTATTGACCTTTTAAATTTAATCTTACCAATAGAAGCATAGAGACACCATACAAAATCTACGATTCCTGAAACCCATCTCACAGGAACACTAAGCATGAAATCTTAGGTAATTAGCTTCGCCATACAGAGAACTGATATTCCTAGTTACTTTTAAGTTTAAACAAATTTTTGGGTCTCATGACAAAGATAAAATCCATCAATCTGATATATCAATTTAAGAATAATATAGAACACATTCACACCATCTTGATAAATATTTCTTCTCCCTTAAAATGGGTGATAAAATGAAAGGCCTATTGATATCATGATCATATATCATTATAGTATCAGCGAAAGAAACTAGATCTATAATGATATACTTATTTCGCTAAGTGAGCAAATCCAGAAGACCTTTATAAAAATATGTATCTTTCCTAGCAATATTAAAAACCACGGAACTTCTGGCCCCTCTAATATTTTGTGCAAAATAACAGTGTGATAGATTCATTATCAGATTTAAAACTCGGGAATTAGGTTCCCCAGTCTAAATTAAAACCGAATTCTCATAAAATTGGACTCATAACACATACTTATACAACTAAGGAACGGTTTTAAACCCAACATCGCAGAGCCATCGTCAAAATTAAAGGTGAAAATTTTTGAAACTTTATGATAGAACAAAGATTTAAATTTAACCAAAAAAAAAAAAGAAGAAACAGATAGAAATCAAACCCAGAACAATCAAGCAACTTTGTTTCAAGAACCAAAAAAAAAAAACGAAATTGAGGGGTAGAAAGCAAGATGTGTTCGAAAACCGAAAACAAGAACCCAGAAATCCAAGAAAAAGGTGGGGAGGGAAAATCGAACCCAGAACAATTTTCGTTGCCATCCGCGCAGTATCTCATTCGCTCATCGTCACCTTCCTTCATTCACTCATCACCATTGTCTTTGTCATCGTTTACCTCGCTGCCACCATAAGAAAGGAAGAGGGAGATAAGTCGAGAGTGAAGAAAGATGTGGTTTAGGCATGTGGGCAAGGGATTGGCAAAAGGTGGAAGGGTATTTTGTCTTTTAACCGGTATTTTATAATTTCTATTTGTGACCGAGTCTCTAAATTCAAGGACCCAAATTACAATTATGTATATTCTAGGTTCTCTATTTGCGATTTTTCCACCATTTATCATTTGTAATTTTTTTTTAATAAAAAAACAATTTTATTCCAGACATAAATAAAAAGGAGTATATAAGAAGGCTTTTACAAGACATCAAAGCCCAACGGAGAGAGATGATACAAACAGGTTAAAATGCCAAACAATAAAATTTGGAAAACAATACTGCCTCCAATCCTTATTATAAAGACTCAGTTAACTAATTTGAGTAAATTAAGAAATTAGTTAAATTAGTTACTTGTAATAAATAAATGTTATCTTCCTTAAAACACTTTTATTAATTATGTGTATTAGTTAAAACTATTATGTAATGAAATCTTTAGCATGTACAACTACTATAAGGATTATCTTAGAAAAATAGATAAATATAAGACAAAATGGATTGGGATTTTATATTTAGGACTAAATTAGAAGTCAAACTAACTCTTATATTATAGACTGAAAGTAGTATATATAATTTAATGATACACATAATTATTTTGGAGGGATGATGTAACATATATTATAATTAAGTAATTTAGTAACTTCTTTAAGATCTCCAAATTAGTTAATTATGTCTTATATTGAGGACAGGAGGTAATTACTACAAAAATAGGTTATTGATTAAAATTGGTCATGTTGATTGTTGAAGAAAAATTAATTTTAATGGCTGTGACTTATTCATCGGAGACGAATGAGATTATTTTTATTAGCACGAGGGAGTTTCTCCTTTCTGCAGTTGTTAATCAATCATAAGGCTGCTCGATATACCCATTAGTATTCAAGTATGTAGCAAATTTATTCTACTATAGGGAAGCAGATCAATTACAACGATACATGACAATTAGAAGCTAACAGAGTCAAGAAAGCTAAAATTTTAAAATCATGGTTTGCAAAATTTTTATTAAAGCAGCGTAGCAGTTTTTTTTTTTTTTAAAACTAAATATAGCTTTCAAATCCTTTTTGGAAGCACGAATAATTATTAACAGGTTCAAGGGGCAGGATGAAAACTTATTTTTAATATAAAAGACAGACTTTCCAAACGTCATGATGGAATTGGCTTTTTGATACTTGTGTTTATGTACAAAGTTAATACTACTTTTAGTGTTCGAAATTTGAATTTATTTTAGTTTTGGTTATGAAATTTAAAGTTAATAATTTGTTATTAAAATTTAACTTATTTTTGTCTATTTAAAAATTTTTTGCCCATGGAACAGTCTGATTGATCGCTGAAATCTTATTTCAAGGATTAAAACTATTGGTTTCAAATTAAAACAGTTTTATTAATTATCAAAATACTAATCATTAAGATATAGAATAGATAAGTTACCGCAAGACTCTATTTTAAAGGTATTCACAATATACTTGAATAATTGTGCAATAGGATATGCAGAAGAAATTGCTATTTTAGACTTTCAATATGAACACATTTTTCTATTATTTAATTTGGAGTAATTCTATATGGACTTCTGAGAATATCAGCTTCTATTTAGGATTAGTTTGAAGTAATTTATAAATAACTCTTCAATCATAATTTAAAAAATATAAGATAAATATATGAAAAGAATTTTATTTCATCTCATGTGAAACATGTTTACAAATGTTTTTAATTGTGACTTCAAACGAGCCCTTGAAAAAATCACAGCACAAAACAATTTGAAATATAGAATAAATTGATAGTATCACGATCAAATAACAAAAAATTTCTTCCTAAATTACTGGGGCTGCTATGTATCAGAATGAAAATGAACAAAATGGATCTCCCGTTGAACAATCACTCGCCATTCCACAGTCGGGAACAAAACGAAAATATATTACATTATCCCCGCCACCCCCCTCTTATCTTGAAGTTCGAATACAAAATGACTATAAACTTCATTTTTTCGGGCGGGAAGAACATAAATGTAAACACTACGGTGGCATATGAACTGACTAGGGAGGACTTATATAGCTATGCCAAATTCAGAACTAAAATAATCAGACGCTACAGAACTTCAAAATTTGAAGAATCATATCATTTGTTGATGAAGATCTGCAGCCTGCTGAGCCAGTTCAACCATCATAGCTTCATCAAAGAATTTGCTGATGCTAACATCCTCACTCATTCCCTGGCAGATTGAATGCAACAACATATGTTAATAGACATTCCTTATCCAATATTTCACACTTGAATAATTTATAACATTCCTTCATGTTTTGTCTATAAACATAACACTGCATAGCTTTATCTTCTAATCGAAAAATTTTCCCTTCTTATTCGTAGGAATTCATCAAACCAATATTTCATACTTATTAGTTGTTACCAAATTGTCATGCGATCCTAAGCATCCATGATCGCAATCTTTTGCAGGGAAAAAAAAAAAAAACCATTGGTTAAACACTGTTTTCATGCTTTATGGGAATACGAAATAATATATCAGTTTATTTGCCTTTGCTAACACTTGGTCAGCTGAAATTTAAATCACATTCATCAAAACAGATTATGAGAGAAACAAAAATAAACAGAGCAGAATCCTGCAACTATTTCCCTTCAGGAAGATAAGGTAATTCATAAAAAGGCAGGACAAGAATGCATGCAACCAACAATATAAAGAAACTGCTAGTGAACAATGCAATGAAGGATAGAAGTACTCTACCTTTCTACGCCTTGTTTTTACCATAAACTCACGCGCAAGGTGCTGAATTGGTGCTGGTTCAAGTGGACGAAGAACAATGCTCTTGTCCAGCGGGTCTCCAGGAACAATAGCCCAATGATCAAATACTGAGAGGCAAAACGCTTGACCTTGCGTGTGGTATCTCAAATCTGTCTCAAATCCGAAGGACTCTATGACGGGGAGAAATGCCTGAGATAAAAGGTGGGAAGAAGTCAATAATCCAGGTTTCAGATGCATGATGCAAGATTCAGCATATCCACAACCACATGGTAGTCCTAAATAACCAATTTCTACACAGATTGTGCACAAAAACTTGCCACCAACCTTGACAATATAAGCTGGGGTGCCCGGCTGAGGAACATCAGCTGTGACATGCCCACGTCTGCGAGATAGCACAGTGTAGATTGCAGAAACACAGTCTATTGGTGTTTGGATCTGAAGAAACAGTGAGAAGAATAACTTTAGCATGCGATCATACAAGTTTCAACTTCCCACATAAGGAATCATGTCTCAACATATATTGTTCTCCAGAACAATTATTAATCAGTGACAAGCACAGAAATTGTTGTATCTCCTTCCATAAAATATTATTCTTGTCTTATCGTGTGTCTTATACAATTATGATCATATTTTTAGGCTTTGCGGACAGAAATTTTGAATCAGACAATCATTTAAACCAAAGAGATGTGCACCAAGCTCCCAATGGCATGGGGATTCAATCATCCGATCCTGAAAATATACAAATTCCATTTTTCTTTAAACTTTTATAATAGTTCAATCGAAATGACAAGCATTTACCTCCACATAATATACAGGTTCCATAAGCCGAGGTGTAGCCATGAGGAAAGATGAATAGGCCACTCGTCTTGCTGTTGGAATGATCTGGCCAGATCCACGATGAAGAGGTTCAGGGGCAATCCTTGCATCAACTATCTTAAACTTGACATTTCTGATGGGCTCATCACACAAAGGTCCCTCTCGTGCACCCCACTGAAATCTGTAAAAGAAATAATATAAAACTTCATAATCAATGTGCGACTAATGGATCAATGATTAGTTAAATATCACACCATTATGCATACCCTTGAACAATGGAATCCTTCACAGCATTTAGTAGGTTCTTGTCAACTTCGGTAGGAAGGGTGTCATCTAAGAGAATATTGGGACCCTGGAAGATATTCATGCATGTTACCGCAAAAGTTTAGGGACATCATAAAAAATTACATCTAATTGTGCAGTAATAAATATAAACAAGACAGTAAACAGGGATCAAACATAAAAGAGACATACAAAATGCAGTCCTACATTATCCATACAAAGCATTTATCTCTGTACCTATACATCCACATGCATGTGCCCCACAAATGCACAAGCATCGCAGCACACAGACAGACACAGAAATTTTACCTGCTTGTCAGGGCCAAATGCCCATATTGACCGCGCAGCAAGAAGATCCCAGTCATACTTTGTCTGGAAAAATTCACCTAGTTTCTTTCTATTCCAATCAGTACTAACAACGCCATTCTCTATGTCCTCAGCAAGACCTCTTTCCAAGGGCTCTGCGATCTAAAGAATGATTGAAGTTAGCTTGAGCAAAGTCAAGCAATATAGCATGTTTGATCAAAACCAACATCAAATTCAGGTAGCTTCCTACCATAGTTATTTTATTCTTCTTGTTGGGAGTTTCAGCAAAACATTTCATTGATGAAGATTCAACGACAGTTTCACAGAATGAGACGACAGGATCAGCAACCTAAATAGTCAATTATAGAACACACTTCAACAAAAATAACAGCTCTAAAAATAAATTCTTGAGTCAATATGAAGAACAATAAGGAAATTGAAAACGGATATGCAAGTGACCTTGACTTCAACTTCAGAATACAGCTCTCTCAGGTCCTTCATAATTGAATCCAAGTAGAGTTCACCAGTCCCTAAAACAGTGTGCTCCCCAGACTCCTCGACTTTAGTAACTGCCAAGGGGTAACTCTTACTGATTTTTCTCAGGCCCTCCACCATTTTTGGCAATTCACTTGGATTTAACGGCTCAGTAGCTGTTTTCACCACTGACAGAGTATTGAACTGAAGTGGTCTGAATATATATACATCTTCATCATAATCAACGTTACAAAGAGTGGCAGTTTTCATGATCGAAGCATCCACACCTTCAATAAGAACCCAGGAACCAGGAGGAGCCTCAGCTATTG